TCACCAGCCCTGATTAAAAATGACAAATGCCGGCTATTCTTGGCTTTAAAGGGGCTGTTCCCATTATAGAGATGATAAATGTTTCTATATTGACAAGCCTTTACTCTTTCACAGGTTTAGCATTGTGTTAAAGCTTTTATGTACATTTCCAGAATCACTACAGGCTAAGTCCATTCTGATGAGGATGGCTAATTGTAGAGCATAGCACCCTACATTGCTGGTGATAAAACACTTCCTGGTAGTGCTGCTCTTAGAACACTAAGAAATAGGACAATCCTTATAATGTGGCCTCAAAGTTTGACTACCGTAAGACAAACCTTTGTCAGCTCTATACCACTATTGCCTTACTCAGAGTAGTGTGCCAGTTTTTGTCCAGTTACAAAATCGCGAACTATGGAGAAAACTAAGCAAAGACAATGCCTGCAACTGCTTTGGGTGAACTGCAGAGGTGGGATTCATTCTTGTTTGATCAGGAAGTCAGACGAATCTCTTTCCATTACAGAGGCCAACAGCTAGCAGGATTACCTGGGTGACATCCTACTCCGGCAAGTGTCTGAGAGAGATCTACTGAGACAAATGTTACTGTCCTGTTTATTAAAAAAAGGTGTCTAAGCACTTCTGTCTTTTCCAGCAATGCTTTTCCAGCAATGCTATTCCAAGTGCTTTAGAAACAGCAATCACACATCATGTGCGTCACATGAAGTCTGTGTCCTTACAAAACCTTCTTTCATATCCCACTTCACAAATGAGAAAACTGCAGCACTGAAATGCCTGGTGTTGGAAAACTAAATAATAATGAAGTTCCATCCTTCTACATGACATAATTCAAGAGGCTACAAATATATGACAGCTCCATGACTAACATCCCCAAGAGACTACCACTGTGCTGGAAATGGCTTTCATCTAAATTCTGAGCCCTATTTTTTTTTTTTTTTCCAGTTGCATAGTTTCCTACAATTGGTTACACTAACAGAGTTCACAGAATACCTTTGGAAAGAAAATGTTTCTGACAGTCACTTGCCAATGTTTTTAGGCAATGACGTTAGAGGCAGAGATTTCCAAAGCAATCATTCATTTTAGAAAGTATAAAAAGTATGATAGGAAGTTAATAAACTTTTACATCCAGAAAGTGTTAGATCACAAGAGGTGGTCTTTTTGCCTAAACAATTTTGCAACACTGAATATTTGTACTTAAGTGTTTGTTAGCAATTCCAATAAATGAGTTTTCTTTTTTTAAAGTATGCGGTATGTTTTGCTGGTAACAAAACCTCAGAAATGTATGCAGAAATCACAAGCACTTTGCAAAAACGGAAGCTAGATATGTTTACTAAACAATCCATTTGATATTATTTGTTTGCCTCTGATGTTATGAATTCATTTCCTAAAGTGTATTAAGAATTACAGTATTCCAATATACTGAACAACCTTCACAGGTGGTCCAAAGCTGCCTCTTGAGTTTTTCTTTTTTTTAATTATTCAAACAAACAGAAATAAATGATGGATTATTTATTGAAAAGTCAATCACCCATGTATAAGCAAAATTTGGGGATATTAATATCATCAGATATCTAGGATACTTCTTTTCCACAACCAATTTTACACCAAATTTACTTTGATAATTTAACATTAAGAAATGAAAATGCTTTAGCACTTACAACAGGTACATGCTACATATTATACAATAGCTGCAGGTTTTCAACATAACGTATAACAGAGAAACAATGATATGAATGAAAAACTAAAGGAACAAAATACAAACTACAAAAGATCAATAAATATCAACAGTTGAAAATCATATGAATAAAAATGAGCAAGTGGGGAGGCCAATCCTGCACTTATATAAAATAGTTTCGAATTACTATTATGAGCAAAAAAAAAAAGTACTAAAACTGTGGATTCCCACAGAGTCATTGGTTTTACAGCCAAAAGAACTCAGTGCAACCATCCAGTCTGATTTTCCCCAGACTGTGTATTTCCTGTACCAAATAAAAACTCTTTATGGATGTGCAAGCAAATCTTTTAAAAATGATGTTAACTACGGACAGAGAGTCTTTGCACAGTAGAGAATCTCCCGATCTCCTGTGGTAACTTCCTTCACTGATAAAATGTTGCAGTTCATTTCCTTGGTAAATCTGTCTAGTAGGTGTTCAACTCTGAGACTGCAGAGCCTTGTGTCATAAAAATAGGTTCTTTCCAAGCAGGTAATAGGAATGGTTTTCACCCTCACTCTGCCTTCTGAATAGAAAATTCTTGACTATGGAAGAGATGTAAAAGACTCAAAGCTGGGGAGAGGCTACTTCTGCTGTGGTTTTTAAGTTTTGGACGAATCCTTTGATCTATCACTTCTACCATTTTCTACCATCTTCTACCATCTATCATTTAGCAACAGCATGAGCAAACCACTGGGTGTAGGAAACATGTCTGAACAAAAGGCTGAAAAACTTCACAGAACGTACAAGAAAACAGAGCAGAGGTGAGGAAGGGAAAAGCATGAGAGAAATAATATTTGCAGAATGGCATCTTGGTTCCTATGCTCTACTGGGTAAGTAAGGACCTTCCCACTGGGACAGGCAGTTTGTTTTTTAAAGATTCCTTATGAACACCAAAGCATGCTTGCCTGGAGTACAGTTATTTTTCACTAATTGCAGAACCAGCTGGATCTTTTTTTCCAAGGCTTAATCCAAGTCCAGTTGACTCTGGCAAGCATTAGTAAGTTATTTAATTGCTAGTTAGTGACTTTAGTAAACTTTAGATCTGGTGCTTAAATATAATTCCCCAATGATTAACATCTTATGCACTGTTTATTCCCGTGCAGGATTGGCTCCCTCATCTTACAGTTTCTGAAATGGCAGAACTAGAAACCTTTATTACTAACCAATTTTAATCTACATGAAACAGCTGAAGTAAAACACAAGGCAGCACATTGCACATGTAGTAACAGGACATCTTATAGGAGGGTTTCATTTTGCCAGGAAAAATCAATTCAATCAGTTTCTTACATAATTTTCTGAGAATAGTGCAAGGCTTGTGAAAGCTGATGCGGTCACCCACTACTAGAAGATATCTCAATTTTATGTGTTTATTGTTAATGGTTTAGGTGGAGACAACTTATTCATACACACGGAATACTGTAAACTATACTGGCTGAAAGGCTGAAATCCAAAACTTCATGCTTCCTCTTAAATGTCATACATAGTAAAACACCAGCAGAGTGAATTAAGCACTATAACTGCATGTACTAACCCTTAGTGAGGAAGAAACTTGAATTAGAATTCAGCGCCAAGATTAGCAACCATTTTCATCCAGATGTATATTAGTATCTCTCCTAACTTCATAATTTGGTATGGCATTTCAACCTGCTCAAAACCAGTGATGAACAATCCAGGGATTCTAATTTGCTGAAACCATTCTAGTTATCAGCTAAAATCTCACCCACATGCCTGTTGCAAAGGACCAGTGAGCATTTAAATCATTACTAAAGTATTAAGGATAATATCGAAGCTAGAAGAAATTTAAAAAATTGTTACTGGGCTATTATTCCAAGACCTTAAACACAGATTCAATTTTAAGCTTGAGAACACAGCTCTTAAATGTACCTGAAATCTGAGCTTGATCAAAGTAAGCATACACAGATGCGGTTTTCTGGAGGTGTGCCAGAGGCTGTTAAGACCAGTTTGGTAGACCCAGCAGTTAAAATAAACAGCTGTTTTTGTGAATTCACATTTAAAAACTGTCTCCACTATGCTCCGCTCCCTAATATTTCTCCTTTCTTAGGAAACACAGTGCTCATGCTCAAATTTCTGGAGGTGCCGGAGGCTGTTAAGACCAGTTTGGTAGACCCAGCAGTTAAAATAAACAGCTGTTTTTGTGAATTCACATTTAAAAACTGTCTCCACTATGCTCCGCTCCCTAATATTTCTCCTTTCTTAGGAAACACAGTGCTCATGCTCAAACTGGTGAGGAAATACCAGTCCTCTTTGTCCTTCTAGTCATGCAGACCTAGACTTCCCTGTCTAGCAGGTGTGAACAGCATGAAAACATTTGGGAAAAGAGGCATGGGAAGTCTCTGGTTCTATGGAAGGGATGGTATGAAGCTTCTGTCACTGACGCAGTGTCTAGTACTGCTCTGTCCTCTGTTCATCCCCGCTGTGGAAGTCCAGCCCATGCCAAAACCCAAAGCTCAGACTGTTTTGGATACCTCCACAGAACAAGGGATGGGAAAACTTCTATATAAATAGCATAGTAGTTAAAAACAAAACAAAACAAACAAAAAAAAACCCCGCACCCCACCATTTAATTTTTTTTCTCCCTCAAATTTCAACCAGGGAAGATGATTCTGGATTTCAAGATTAATAAAGATAATGTTTGGAGACTGGTGGTTTTCCCACTGGTAGCCTGTCATCCATCCTGTCATTCATGCAGGGGCCTCCTTTTCTTGCTTCCAACAATAAACAAATAATTTCTATTTCCTAAGTCTAGTTGCTTGTGCCTCTTGAGTTTTTCTAGTAACCAGCAGCAACACAGGTACATCTACTGGGGACCCTAAGCACAGGGCAGCCAGCAAAGAACATTTTAGACTTCAAGCATTTTTAGCCTCTCTCTCTTCCTTCACAAGATTCCCAACCTATGAAAATCTGCTAACAAGGGCAGGACAGGCCCTGTTCCTTAACAGATGGTCATTTTGAAGGACAGAGTATTTTGCTAACAGGAAAACGTTAATTGTTCTTGTTAAGCAGTGACTTTCATGATGTACTATTTAATTAATAAACCTAATTTATATTTGCACAGTGAGCCATAAGGGTGATGGTATGTTCCCAGAAGATTTTCTAGTAATTAAGTTTTATAGCTTCCTAAGCATCTTATTCTCTATGCTCAAAGGAAAATATTGACAACTTTTTTTTTTTTTCTTTCAGACTCTGCTGATAAACAGGATGCTTTGCCACAAACTACAAAAGAGAAATTAAAATATCACATTAATGCTTTTGGAACACATTACTTACTGTGGTGGCACAGTGGATGTCTTTCCATACATTGGCTTCCCTGGAGAGATCTGAGACTTCAAAAAGGTTATCAAGAATAACTTCCCCAATCATGTCATGTCTAGAAAATCTGTCAAAATCATAAACACTGAAATGCAATTTCCTGTTGCTGAGTTGATCATAGGCTACAGGAAACTGAAAGGTTTCATCAAAGACAGGATTTAATGTCTTTCTGTGAACTCGTGTCTGAAACTTCTTTTTCCTATCTGGAAGCAGATAAATCTTAACGTAGGGGTCCGATGTTCCTGTGAAGTCTTTAGCAGGCAGATCTAAGGCTTTGACAATTGTGACAGCCAGGAGTTCATTCTCATAATCATACCGGAGAGTGAAGTTAAGTTTTCCACATGTTTTCACATCTTCTTGTTGTCCATCAGAATCCACAGACTTCTGTTTGTAGAGTTCCGGTTTTATTCTCCCAATGCTGGTTGTCGTCTCTCCCCTTTGCAAAATCGGATCTGTCCCCATGTTAAAATCAACACTGGACACTTGCATCTGCCTTGGCAAGTGCCTCCTGAAAGAATTGTGCCTGCACACATACACACACACACACACACACAAAACGAGCCATGATTACCTCTGGGAAAAGACCTGGCTATTACTAAGTAGAAAATACAAGAAGACCAAATTACTAAGGGTTCCTCTCTTTAAAATAATTTTAAAATAATCCCCCCCAAATGTTTTGCAAGTGTTAAAACATCCTTGAGAGGAAATGATCATTCAGAATGAACTTCTTCGCCCGAGAGACACACATTGTCCTGGCAATACACGTATTTATAACCTTGTTTTTGGGCTATGCAGCTGAAACCGAATTTAGGTTCTTTCACAGAACAAGCTGACAGTTCCAACATTGCTTGAGCCCACTGTGCTAGGGCCTGAGTAAAGTATAGTCAGGCAGAAAAAAAATCACTTGCAGAATTGTCATCAGTAATTCCTGGATTTTGGAGGCATTCCGTGGTGTTTTTTCAATTAAATATTTACCAAGCTTCACACTGATCACTGTGAAAGGCACATGAAAAGGCCATACAGAGCTATGTTTGGAGGTTTTCAGCATAGTGCTTTGCCATCCTACACTATTTTATATACACCTGCTTGGTATTTGCTACACTGAGGTACAGGCTGCCTTCTCCAATCATACTGGGAACATTTTGTTCTGGCTGCAATACATGTCAAAGTTTTGGTCAACATTTTTCTGTGATACGTTTTTTTCCTTCTGTTCTTACACTCTGCCGTGTAGTGTTTTAGAAAGCTGATTCCTGTACTCCTAGCAAGAAACAGTGTGTTTAAATCCTTGTAATTCTGAATACAGTGTTGCATAAGCATATGTATTTATGGGCTTATCTTGACTCATGAACATCAATGGAAATTTGTGCCTTTCCTACTACGACTGAAATCAAAGCCCTGGTATGCCATAGAGCCTTACAGTAGTATAAAAACACTGGTCAAAAAACTTCATAGAATTAATCATCAGCAGATGCCATTATGACCACACTGTCCAGTTTATTTTTTTGGACATTTTCACATTTCCTTGGTACTTCACTACCCCAACAATCTGTACTGGAAAAGCTCACTACCTCCTCCTGTGAGCATACTTAGTTGCCATTAAAAAACAATTTAATTGTCAGAATTTCCCCTGCTTTTTGCAATCAATTGCTTATTAATGCCAAATGCAGCCTTGCCTTATTGCTTGGTTTCCCTGTGGTGTTGTGTTCTGAAAACAAGAGGTGTCACAGCTGTGTGTTTCTTTCTTTAAATCAGAAATGCAAATTGTCCATTTGAAAACAACCAGGACTCATTTCATAGATATTATTTGTATTCTTGCTGTAAGTGAAGTGGTTGCAGAAGGCATGAAGCACAAAACTACTGCAGTTCAGCTGAGCAGAGATACAAGAGGGTAATCTGCAGCCATTAAATAATAGACAAGAACGTTTGCCCTTTTGGCTGTTCCAGTACTGGTAGGTGCAGGGAGCAGCCCTATCATAATACAAGAATAGGAGAGGGAGAACTTCATAGTCTAGATTTGAAGTAGGTCCAAAAAATCCAGGTGTTTTGATCTCAAATTTAGATGAACAATACACCCCTCTCATAACACATTCTACCTTTGGTTTTTTACAGACAGACAAGTTGAAAGATTTTCTTTTCTCTTAAATATTAAAACTCACCAAATTCATAGTATACAATGTCTACATTGGAACGGAGTGAGGAGTCAAAAGGCCCTAACTAGTCAGAAAAGTACAATATTGTCCTCAGGGAGTTTTAGGGCTGTCCTTGTGTCTTTGTCCTCTGAGAAGTCCAGCCTTGTAGGTGTGCTAAACACAGGGAAGGAACTGAACTCCACCCAAAATGTAGTGACAATAAATGTTTGGGCATGCAGCAATTTCGGCACTAGCTCTCTAGTATCTTTGACTCATAATGAAGTCCAGGGAGACCTGTGTTACTGCTACTTCTGTCTGTGCTAATGAAACCTGTGCAGGTAGGCCTTCCTGAGTGCTCCTCACACCTGCAGCCGTACTACTGAGATGCCCAGATAATCGTGTTCAAACCCTGCCATAGACAAGCAGTAGAGAAAACTGCCTACGCAGGGGAAACAGTGAAGCTGACTGTATGGCATTTCCAGTTTGGGTGAAAACAGATACACAAATTCTCTTTTCCTTGACTTGTCTTGCATTTATGAAGATCTGAGTTAATACTTGTAAAAATAACATATAAACCCCCAAATCTATGATTTCTAAGGTACCAACCTTCTTTCAAATTTCCAAACTTTTGCACGTAAGATCCTCTAGTGAACGTAGTCATTGTTGCGAGATGTCAGTAAGTAAAATAGTGTGGCTGTATGGCTGTTCCCTGTGGGAACCAGCAGCGCTTTTGCTCTAGTAAGCCGAAGTCCTAATTACATAGCGCCTAGTATCTGTTCTGAGTCACACCATTTCACCAAGACAGCTAATTGGTCTGTTAATTATTAAGATGCTTCATTGTTGTCATGGCAACATATTTATCTTCCTTTGTTCTGCAGTAACAAAGGAATTAATGACTGTGATAATGAAGTACAAGGATGTCAGGCAACCACATTGTGAAAAAGCTGAAAAGCTACTAACGTGTGCAAATCCAGGTACCTCAACCCCTACCGGCTCTTACATGTAGCACTCCTATAATAGACATGCCTTCCATAACTTAGAACAAATACATTTTGAGTGACAGTAAATCTGTATGTAAATCTCTAATATAAAATTGTGCTTGCATAGGACTAATGATAGTATGAAGCTGATTTCTAACTCAGTAAGACTGCCGTATGTAAGACAAAAGAGAAGTATAGGATGCTGATTTATGATATTACTTGAGATTTATGAGAGACGGCTCTGGTCTAGCTTTCTTAGATGACATTAGACCAATCTTCTGGATCAAATCCAGGAATGGACACCAGCACTTGTGGTATTTAGACAGACCAGAGGCTGCTGTCTCCTCCTTGCAATCACTAAAGTCAACAGATCTGTTTGTTTTTCTTTAACCTTAACATTCCCAAGCACCTCACTTTCGCCTTTGTGCTTCTTGGGAACTGACTTACTCTTTGCAGAGCTGAATGACAAGCTCCTCTCCGACCTAATGCTAAGGAGCAAAAAGCACGTCCTTTAAAAATACAGGTGAACATTTGAAGGAAGGAATATCATAGAAACAATAAACTATATTACAGAATACTTTCACAAAGTATTGGGAAGAGTGGTTTTCAATAACACAGAGTAAAAATATTTGTAAACGAATACCATTGATGCAGGACTTCTTCTATCGTAGTTTACTGGTTAACTGGGATCAAGGACTAAAGAGCTTTTTTTTTTTTTTTAAGAACCAGGTCTACCATTGATAGGACTTCTTCTATCGTAGTTTACTGGTTAACTGGGATCAAGGACTAAAGAGCTTTTTTTTTTTTTTTAAGAACCAGGTCTTTTCATATTATTGGGAACTATGAAAATGATATAGTTCTAATTAAGCAGAAATTCACCATTTCCCTACACTAACATGTCTCCATGTTAAATGTACAGTCTATAAAAAGTGATCAGGCACATTTTATTATTGCTCTGAATGGCTTCTTAAAATCCTTATGCTTCAATTACAATGACTTAATATGATTCTATTTCTTTTATTAAGAGCTGATGGCCGCAAGAATCTATCACAGAACTGGTAACAACGCTCTTCTTTGCCCCAGCTCAGGTGAGATCAGTGTTGAGGAGACAATCCAGACAGCAAACATTTCTCTTAGGTCCTTTGTCAACTGAATACAGTTAGGAGATGGTGTATTTGGGTCACTCAGGACTCCTGAGTACAACGAAGCAGTGCTGTGTCAAAGACGGTGCAAGAGAAAGCTATGCTACCTCTGTGTCTGCTAATGGCTCTGCTTTATTTAGAGGTCCCCAGTGAAGGACACCAGAGACAGTTTTTAGCCATTTTGTGATCCAATATTCTGTGGCACAAAGGAGAAGGCGTAATCCAGAAAGCTGGTCTAAATGGCCAGCCTTCATCTCATGTATGATATTCTTGGCAGCAATAATTATTATGGGATGTGGGAAGGTTAAGACTCACTTAAGGCAGGTGGGTGTATAGAAAAAATGTATTTACAAACGCAGAAAGGACCATTTCTGGGTGATTTTTAAGACACATCTCATTCTAAACATGTTTTGTAGCAAGGGTGCAGAGTTTTTCAGCAAACTGTAAAGAAAGGTGATGTCTCCAAACACCCTGCTATGAATTGGCTAAGGTGGGACAACCAGTGTTACTCAAAGCAAAGGAACTGTCCCTCTCAGGAGAGATGTAACCCTGATAATCTAGAGACGATAAAAAGAAAAAGCTCTCTTACAAAGTTACCAACATGTGCAGAAAGAGTAGGGTCGATGGCAGGTTTTAATTTTGTAAAACTGTCCTTGGCTTCACGGATATTTTATATGCATTTAGACCCCAGTCCAAATCACTCTAGAGGTCTGTGGGAATACTTTCACAGCCTGAAGTAGCTCTGGATCGCATCCCTGGAACTTCTTTCTTCCCCTATAGTATCACAGGGACTATTCAAGTCCATTTGCCAGCCAGCTCTTTCTTCTGTCTGTTCAGAAGTCAGTCAGTCTGACCACCTACAGATTTACCTGTTGGTACGTGATAGATAAAACTCTTCCAATTAATACCCTATTAGGTAATAGTGGGTTGTGTAATGTCCTTGTCATGCTAAGCTGTATCAATTTTGGTCCCTCTGTGTTTAGTATAACAGTTACAATTTCAAAGTTGTCTTCCCAGTATTTTGGAAATGTTCCTCAGAGTGGCTTGGATACTGTGCTCCCTCTCTTAGCAGATACAGTAGCTGGAGCCAGGCATAGCCAGGGCAACATGGCTTAAAGCCAGCTGTACAGTCTCATAATCCAGGAGATGGTCCAGCTGCTAAAGTCAGCTAGACCTCCTGTGGCTGGAGCGCTCTCATTTTTGTGAGCCTCCTGTGGTTGCCTGTTGGCTGTTCCATGCTGTTGGAATAGCTGGGAAAGGGGACTTCAGCATTCACCACCGCAATGAGCGCATTGAGCTGGCAAAACGCTGTCTTAGGCACTCACAGAAGGCCAGCAAAGTATGTGCCCACTAAATGTAAAGCACATGTCTTCTCTAATCTTGTGCCTCCAACGATTATTGTGAATGTGAGCTTTTTTTTTTTTGCTTTGGTAGCATGTGTTCATTTAGCAAATGTTTTATTGAGGGAAAGCTACTGCCTACACAGTATTTGTATTCTTACTTATGTCATTATGCAACACTTCAGGTGCCTCCTTTAGCCTTCATTTTCCTATTCTTTGTTTATAAAACATTCCGCCCCTCTTTTTTTTTTTTTTTTTTATGTAGAAAGATATCTTTGCGGTTCACTGTTTGTTTTCCGTGCATTAAATTTGTTGACAGTATTTGAAGAAAACCTTGTCTGAAACTATAGGTCACTGCACACGTCTTCACTACTTTTCAATATAAAGCAGTTCCTGAGGGAAAATAAAAGTTTGTGTCCTTCACTTTAATACAAAAGAAATCATTTCAGCAATATTACATGCTTGTCATTTATTTAAGGATCTATATAAAATCTGTACTGCTTTAAGATCAGTCCATAAGGTTCTACATTCTTAGACTGGGATTTTAATTCCTTTATAAGTGGCAAACCACGTCTTAAAGAAATGTGCCATCAACAACAAATCTGTCATTTATTTAGTGGAGAGGGAAACTTTCATCTGCAAAAGCAACTGCTGTATCTATAAAAATATCTGTGAAAAGCCAGACTTGCAGTAATTTAAAAAATAACACTGAAAGATTTTCCTATACACAAAACCTAAAATGGAAATGCTTAAAGTAGTAACATATGTCTTTACAAAGTAGTAGAAGACATAGATTTGGTCTTCATATGTTAAAATAATGACGTAACTGAAGGTACACCGTACGTTTCAGAATATTCTGTTCAAAGGACACTGAGGCTTCACCTTCACGTGACTGCTGTTTCACCCATAACTGCTAAGAAGTCAGTGAATAATCCAGGATCCTGGAAATTTTCAGCAGCGTGTCCCGGCTCTACCTGTTCCCAGGAAACGTGCCACAAACGCGAGTGCCCCTGACTTACCTTGATGACGATGTGGGCTCAGTGATCTGCCTCTGCATGCGTGCATGTCTGATCAGATGCTCTTTCAGTGCGTTCTGGACCTCTGCTGGTATATCAGGTGAAGTGTGGCTAATTTTCAACGCAGCTTCAAGTACCTTTGTTGTAGGTTTCCCATTTTCTTTAACTTCCTTTTTCTCACTGGTCTCAAACACCTCCGTAGGAGCACTGGAGTTGCTCTGAGGGACATTACTGGCATTGGAAGTGAGAGGTTTGCTTCTCCAGCAGGGCCAACACAACTTCCAAAAGACAAAAAGCGAGACTACCAGCAAGGCGAGCCCACAGAAGCTGACGACTACTGCTAACAGACTGACTGAGATGTCTGCAAGGAATTAGAAACAAAGATCATCATGACAGACAAACATGGAGAGAAAAAAAAAATTAAAAATGACACAGGTAAGGAGATGATAGAAGCATTTTGATCATTATCTCGCATAGAGCTTTAAAGTCGTATTTAATCTTTTTTTTTCCTTTTTGATATCTACGCCTGTACCTATCTTTTCTTTTCCTTTTTGATATCTACGCCTGTACCTTTAAAATGTTATCATTCTCTAATATCTATGTCACAAATACTCCATTAATTGTTGTTCAGGCCAGGGGCCAGTATCTGTACCCCTAGCCATGCACTCAGTCAGACTTCTCAGGAAGTGAGGGATTACCCAAATGTTCCCAAATGCTCCCAGCCATTGTTGTCAAAGGGTGTCTGCTCAGGAACACATCTTGCTGAAAAAGTTAAACACAGTCAACTTTTTCTGTAAGTGCACATGAAGATAGACCAGTTCTAAACCACCAGGCCGATACACAAATTTCTTCAGGACTTGCCAAACTTTTGACTGTGTGCTAACTTTCTCAGAAACATGTTAAAACCTAACATTTAAGTGGCATAAATAGGGACAGGATATAGTTTGTCATAAATAAGAAATTTCTAGAGTTAAATCCTAAGCTCTGGATCAAGACTGTGTTAGACCAAGACAGCACATATACATCGGTATCTAAAATTCTGCTCTGAAAATGCAGCTAGCTTCAGAGCACACTATACAACGCCCTGAGTTGTACAGGGAACATACTGTACACTTAGCTACCCTTGCTGCCCTGTATTTGCCTTTTTCTGCCACAATTAGTTAGCATATCCAATAGCACGGCCAAAGGTAGAAGAACAGATTTCATACCAACGAAATTCTGTGAACAGACTTGTATTTTAGGAGATGGTGGATCACCAGAAATGCCAGTTGAGCCCTAATTAGGAGTTTTATTCTATGTGACATGTTTCAGTTTGATTTTTCCAGTATCATGTAAAATTATAAAATATAACCCAAAAAATGCCTTTCCTTTGAAAAGATCCTTTTGTATGCCTTAAAAGTATTCAATAAACCCTGCTTAAATGTCCCTCAAGTAATGGCTGCTGCTGCTTATTACAACAAGTTTTGACAGTTTAACAGCTAATATTTTGTATCCATAGCTCCAGTCTACAGCTACTGAACTGAACCAGTGAAAAAGTGCAACGAGAGTTTAAGCATATTTTTTCTAGACGATCACAGGAAGAAAAACAGTCCTCTAGGTATGTATTAGCTCCATGGAACAGTATGTACCTCACAGGCCCCTTTGAGAGACGAAGATTCCAGTAGAAAATTTGGGAACATTTTCTTTATTAATATATAATATCCAGATACATTTCTCAGTAACAAACACTGAACTTAAGGCCCATTCAACATGAAAATGCATGAGAATAGCAAAAGCAAATAGAAAATGTTTGTAGTCTGGAGATTTGAAAGATACGGTTCTGCTCAATCTTACTTCATATACATCCTGGCCAGTGTCAGGGGGGAATTGGCAGAGGATGTGCTGCTTGATTTTAAGAGTTTGGCACAAGCTGCTGCCCTGCCTTAAACAGAAGTATGCCTCCTTGACCATTTCCTGCCAGTCTTGAGAAAGGTGTCCTCCTTTTCTGCCTGTAGTTAAATGCCAAAATGTAGCCCTTGGAATATGCATGTCAGCTTAATGAGAAATTCATACGGCAAATTCTGATTAAAGATGCTTCCATAAAATGAATGGAATTATAATTATAATTATATCTAATAATAATGTAACACAAGAAGCAAACGATACTTTTGCATATGACTTTTCTAGATAATTTATCCCCAGTAGGTATTATTAGGCTATTTGGTTTAACCTACTGTTTACCCTGATATCCTTCCTGAGCCCAGTAATTTTTACTTGGCTTGTGCATGTTCTGCAGCAGATTGTCCTATCTTGACAAGAGAAGACATTAAGAGATGCTGAGTTTACAGCTCGTTTCAATGGTTAATCACATCATTGCAAATTTGTATTTCTGATTTGTATTTTTGTAGTTCTAATTTACAGTCACTGCTTCTTTCATGTCTTTGTATGAGAGATTAAAAGATACGATATGCTTCATAAGACATGCCTATACAAAATATAGATAAAATAGACTGTGCCAGGAAACAAACCCAGGACTTGAAACTCAATTGCCTATACCAGTCCCTGGAACAGTTTTAAACTGGGCCAGTCTATCCCCTCCCAGGCTGGGAGGGGATGGATCAGGAATTAGAGTAGGCCAATGATCATTCTTAATAGGTGGTTTGGATGTGGCCTTTCTGTTTCAGCAGATAACAGACTTTAATAGCATGAAGAGAGGCTCTTACATACAAATTGGCCTCAGTGCCAGAGAATGGTCAGAAGTGAATTTAAAGTATTAATCCAGAGGTATGCCCCACTGAAGGAACTTTTTTGACAAATTGAACCAGCTGAATTTTCAATCAAGCTGGACAAAATATTTTTCCATTCTCAAAGCCTGAAAAAAGTAGAACTCTTAAAAATGTTGATGATCTATCAGAAATTAAAAAAAAAGAAGACAACAAGCAATTCAATTTTGGGTCATTTGCAATATTTCCAGCTTAGTTTAGAGATGGTTGGCATAATTAGGTTACATTTTGAGAGGAAGGCTTTTAGAACTGAAAATTGTATTTTTTTTTCATTTAGAAAATGTTGAAACAGGATGTTTTAACAACTTTGAAACTGCTGGAAACAATTCAAAACCAGAAATACGAAAATTGATCCCTTCCAGCAGAGTTTCAATTTGATGAATAGATACTATCAGCTGAAAAACAGTCCATCAAAGCATTTCTAGCCAATTCTATTCTAAGTTTTTCACTGCAAGACATTTTTCAAGCCTTCAAATAACCTGGTGTCTCCTTTCAACACCTACTCCTGTACTTCAACATTCTCTAAGCTTTTTTTCTGTCTTTCCATTTAACTATTTCACATTCTAAGTCACTCCCAAAATCTTTACAGAAAATGTTTTATAGCCCTAAAATAATCATGTGAAACATCTGAAGTCTCAAAAGCAAAGAAGCTAATTCTATTAACAGTTGTACAAATTATAGTCTCCATTTTTGCTATTTTACCAATAAATTAAACAACCTCACATATTGTACTTCATAACACAACAAATACTTAAACAGAAACACGAAATATTTTAATTGCCAGGAATTTGACCAAAAAATACTTCATCATAAAAAATGTATTTAATTACATTTACTGCCATAATTGCTAAAAAGCAATCACTATGCCATATAAATTGACACAAAAAGCATATTGCTTCATTTCCTCACTTCTGACAGTCACTCAGTTGAGCAATTGCAAGAGATTCATTGTTACGTGAAGGCTGAAATCATCTGTAGAAGAGCAGTCAAATGGAGCTTCCCAGACCCTTTGCATGTTAGACTGGATATGTCTCTCATATTACCTTTTTATAGGAAGTTTTGTTTAAGAATACAAAACATTAAAAGACAGTTCTGTAGACTAGGAGTTTCTTCACATTCCTGCCACGGAAACCTGGTTGGGAAGGAAAATGGGTACTGAAGGATGGATGTGTCATCAGACCAGAGTTGCACTTCACATATGTAAGTATTATTTAAAGATGTAGAACTGGTGACAAATTCGAAGACTGCCTACATTTTTAGAGGCAGGAGGAGATATATTCACTCTGCCGGGACAACGTTAATTGCCAACATTGTAAACAATGTCCTCATTGGTCTCTGGTATGAAGGAAGAGAAAAATCATCTTGAACTACAAGCAGTTGTTCGGCAACTCTCTTTCTGAACTGGTAATTGCAGCTTGTCTTCAATGCTACGCATTTGCACAGAACAGGACATCTTTCTGAATATCCATCTGGACATGCAGCATCATGCTTTTGCCAGTCCTGTTCTTATGCTGGGTAAACTCAAAAATGTCAAGAAAATCCTCTTGCTCACCCCCCCCCTTCTGATCAGTGCAGCATCATGCTTTTGCCAGTCCTGTTCTTATGCTGGGTAAACTCAAAAATGTCAAGAAAATCCTCTTGCTCACCCCCCCCCCTTCTGATCAGTGGGAAATCTTCCAGCGACTTCAATGGAGTTACCATTTCACTCCTGGTGATCTTCCTTTACTGACCTCTGTCCTTAATGTCATCTTCATAGTCTTGATAAAATTTCATAACTGAAAGAAAGTATCCTGTTTCCTCATGGTTTTCTATTTAAAACTACTCTTTCAAGATACGGAATTTTGGACAATTGTATATTTCTCATTTGAGAAAGACGTGTCTATTTGGGAAGTGTGTGAATTCTATTTACCTCAAAATCTCTCTGCATTTTTTATAAATATCATCAGACACATTTCCACCATAAGATGCTCCTTGATAGCCAGACTTTCGTATTAGGCAAGTACTTCAGAAACATCTTCATCTTTTTTCTGGATGCTAGGGAATGTTTTGAGCAATGGTTTTTGTACTATGGCTTCCAACAATTTGTTGTTTGAAACTTGCCTCAGAAAAGTTCTGCGCATGAATCCATTCACAAACATGCACATTGGCAGACTTCCATTTCCAAACCAAATTAAGTTAATTTACATTTTAGTCAGTGCCCTGACAGCATGTGCCTGTTGATGCTTAACTTTGGAAAAACTTACTCCACAAACCCATGACCTTGAATGGAGAGAGAGAGACCAGATAGTGCTGTGACGTAGCTGCCCATGTGTATAAGGGGCAAGCACGTGTCTGATGTGGACCATGCTAAAGAGAACGTACTCTTGCCAGCAAAGGAACAGGGGGAAAGGAACACCTGGAAAAGAAGGGGGTTATATTCTCTTTTGACCCACCTCTTGGTCTATATCTGATCTTGGTTCTCTTAAATATTTAAAGTACAATGTCGCTGTAACTTTTTTCAAACATATTTTTCTTTAACTTCTAATTTGTTCTCTTGTTCATCAGCCATACAGAACCTCACTCTTTCCACAGCGACCACTCTAAAGGGAACTCTTGTGCC